TCACCTAGCCCGGGTATAACTAGCTTCTTCCTTTTTCCTCTTTTTTTTTTTTTTGGTTTTTCGAGACAGGGTTTCTCTGTGTAGCTTTGCGCCTTTCCTGGAACTCGCTTTGGAGACCAGGCTGGCCTCGAACTCACAGAGATCTACCTGCCTCTGCCTCCCGAGTGCTGGGATTAAAGGTGTGGGGCTACCACCGCCCGGCCCTTTTTCCTCTCTTAAAGCATTTCGGAGACAGGCTACAGCTCCGTGGTAGAACGCTGACCCAGCGTCACAAGCCCCAACCTCCTCGCCTCCACCAACACCACGCCCCCAAAGCATAGAGGGTCCCACCCAGAGCCCATTTCTACAAAAATGTCCATTTTTCTGAAGCTCTTCAAAAGGAACAGAAAAAATATGAATTTAGTGGAACCATCAAAACCAGTCACATATTTTCTTCAGCATTAGAGACACTTTCTTTACACTTGCTCTACAAAAGCAGGACCACTCACTTGTATTCCCTTGGCTTCCATTGACCAAAAAGGTAAATGGGACCGTACAGGTGGCTCAGGGGTTAGGAGCTCTGGCGACTCCTGCCTAGGACCCGGTTTGGTTATCAGCACCCATATGGAGGCTCAAAAGCGCCTGTAACTCAAGTTTCCGGGGATCTGATGTCCTCTGCTGGGCACCCTGGGAACTTCTCTCTCTCTCTCTCTCTCTCTCTCTCTCTCTCTCTCTCTCTCTCTCTCTCTCACACACACACACACACACACACGAACAATGAACCTCTTCCTAAACACTGCTTTGGGAGGTGTCCCCACCCACGCACAGGGGCCTGCCTCCTCTGTACATCCGAGCTCCTGCCTCCTCGCGCACATCGGAGGAGCTCCTGCCCAGCAGGTCACGTGAAGCCTAGTGGCGAGATGGAGCCCAGATGGCCCACTCACTTCATGTGGATCTCCTCCAGCAGCTCTAGCTTCAGGCGGTCTGTGCTAACCCCCGCGAAAGTGTCTCCGCGGCCCTCTCCCATCGCAGCAGCTTAGAGACCTCCCGCGCCCTTCCGCTGCGCACCACCTAGAGCTTAAGACCCTGGGAAGCCTAGGAACCTTGAAGGAAAAAGCGTTGCCAGGATCCCTAGCATGACGTCATAGGGTGTTGCTCATGTCTGCAGGCCCCCGGTGTGAGCTAGGGGTAAAACAGCCTGGGATCCAGGCTCCCAGAACATCCATCTTTTTCTGACCCCCTTTTGACTTTGCTTTCCTGGACTTTAGAGCGCCTGCGCCTTCGTTTGCTTCAGCGCAGTAGGCTAGGCTTTGAAAAGACAGTCTGAACTTTGCTAAGTGTGAGCTTTCAGGCCAAGAAATTCTGCCTGGGAGTTTAGGCAGTTCCGTGCACTGGCCTGCTTATCACATTTGTATTCTACTCTTGAGACATCTTGGTTTTAACATACTCTGCCTTCTCCTTCATCTTTTACCAGGAAGGTGATAGGCTCTGTCTCCTGCGGTTTGAATCGATTGTCCCCCCAAAAATTAATCTTGAAATGAAATCCCTCTTGTAGGATTTATATTAAGAGGTGAGTCTAGACAACCATCGAGAAGTGACTAGAGGGGCTTGGAGAGACGGCTCAGTGGATATGAGCACCTGAGCTGTCAGAAATGGGTCTGGGGTCCCAAGAAAAGGACAACACAATCCAAAGGATCCCGGCAAGGCTGAATGTATGGGACTGGTCAAGCCCGCAGACAGGCACACCAGTTTTATTTCTACCACAAGGGGGTCGTGTGCCTCATTTTGAGCGGTCAGACCTGGGCCTCACACTCCCATGCTGTGGTTAGGGCGCAACTGATAAGCAAACTATAACAGAACAGAAAACGACTTGTCAGCACACATTTTGACCCTAGAGGAGTTCGGATTTCTGCCAAGTGACTTCTTTACTATTTTTTTCTTTAAATAAGAGTTTTGTCTTATTTAATTCTTTGACAGAAAAGAGTACATTTTATTTGTACTTCTCACACAGCTCTTGATGAGGACTCTGGCTGGTTCCCATCGCTCAGAATGGATGCTGGACCATCCAACTCCTTTTTCATGCAGTCACTGCATGCAGGCAAAACATATCAATACATTCCAAATCGACTGGATCTTTGGCCCTGTGAGTAATCCTGTAGGTTAATGGATTTGTGGGTTATCTGAAAGTCAGTTTACTCTGGGATATCTCTTCTTCCTGGCTTGCCCTTTGGGGTGCCCTGGACTCACCTTGGATATGACATCTGATACCAAGTAGAGGGAAATGGCCACCTCGGGATTCCCCGAGGATGCTGAATGTTTCCTGAGTGTCCTGCACTAGGCATTATCATTATGCTGACTGAATCAAAGATTTTTCCCCTTCCTCTATTCAGGGTTGGACGTGAGAGGGGCCTCCTATCACTTCCACCATGTTTTCTTCCTCCCCACTGTCTAGTTTTTCCCATGTGTTTGAGGTCTCTGGACCCCAGAAAGCACTCTTGAGCAGACATCTGACTTGCACTCTCTTCTTCATGCCTCCTGCCATCTGGAAGAAACCACAAGCCAACACCATCTCAGCCTCCCCTTCCCCACTTTTCTTATCAAATCAGGCTAACTCAAAGTGTAGCGTCCACACGTTCTTTCTCCTCCCTTATGGGGCAAGTTCTTCCTGTGAAGTCAGCTGAACCTCTACTGCATGCCTTGTCATCAACAAAAAGGGGCTCATGACTGACATCAGAGGCTGCATATGACCCTGTCCTAAAGGTGCCGCTTCCTGGGACATGGTCCAGTCCATCAGTGTTCTCGGCTTCGTCTCTATAGTCACACGGTAGACTCTCTTCAGGGAGGCATACCATGGGACCAAGTGAGGAAGATGGGACACCATAGGGTTCCCAAGGATGCTCCACTCTCAGGTGGCTTGGCTTTGGTTGCCTATCACCCATTGCTGGAAGCATGTTATCACCACTACATCCAGACGGCACACCATTCCACACCGCATGGGAAAGGTAGCCAAAATGGAATTGCTCCTGCAGATACTCCAGTCTCGGAGATCAGCCTCAGCCATGTGTCCCAGCACCCATTTCAGGAGCCACACAACGCCCCCCTCCCCAACATCCTTGGTTCTGCCAAGTCTCTTTAGGGGATCCAATTGTGATGTGGGACTTTTCTTGGGGAAATTTCCTATTTACCCAAATAGGACACCGACACCAACACCGTACCAAAGAAAGACGACTGTCCAAAGTGAATCAGAGAGCTCACTGAGGTTGCTGGCAGAAGTCTAGGTGAGGGGTCACTTACAGGACCACAGGAGACTCAAAGACATCTTCGAAAAGCCTATGCTAGCGTGGGCATGACTGATGAGAGCTGCATTCCTGGGACTCCGGAAGAACCTGCAGGCCGCTTGGCCAGTTACAGAGGCTCCTCTCCTCAGCAACTGCACCTGCTTGTTTAGCCTTGGGCAAGGACAGCCTTGTGGCTCTTGTAGCTCCCGGGCCTTGTGTATTTCCTGTACTTCCGGTGTCGTCTGAGCTGCCCTGTCACTCTACGGGGAAGCAGCTGCATGACATGCCGTGGTGACAGAGCTCCTCAGGCTGTGCAATGTATAAAGACTAACGTCTCTTCCCAGATCCCACCTCTGGAAGCACATAAGATACTGGCAGGTTCTCCATTCCTCCATGTTCCTCGAGGGCCTGGTCTTGACTTCCAAGATGCTGCACTGTTGCTGTGTCTCTACATAGCACAAGGCGTCTTCCAACATGGGAAACGAGGAGATCAGAAAAGGGGCCTTGCTAACTCCCCCCAGCTCTTTCAGAAGGGCCTAACCCCAGCCTGAGGACAAAGGCTGCATGGCCTAACCACCTCCTCAAGGGCCACCCTCTTGATCCACTTGCACTGTGTTGAGTTTCAGCATGAATTTGGGAAGGAACATGAGCACACAAACCACAGTAGGCCTCGGGACAATGGAAACTAGGCTAGGGTGATGTGGTTAATTTTGTGAACTACGGTGAACACAGGTAACTGGATGTTCTGTGAGGGGGTGAGATAGGAAGAGATATTTGGGGGCTAGAGAAAGGACCACTGGCTAAGAGCACTGGATGCCCTTTTGGAGGACAGGGAGTGGGGTTCAATTCTCAACACAGACATGACAGCTCACAACTGCCTGCAATTCCAGTTCCAGAGGATGTGATGCCCTCTTCTGGTGTTGACAGATATTGTGCAAACACGGTACACATAAAGACATGCACACACACATAAACAGATATTAATACATAGATATTCGGTCTTAGCGCCTGATTCCTGACCAACCTCTGAAAACCCTTGGAGAGTCACAGAATGTCTCTGATTACTCCTCATTCCCCCTTAGGCACACCTGAGGAGTTTAATGTCACACAGATGAGGGGCTGGTTGTCATAATGGATCATGTAGTGAGAAAGTTGGGACTTTTGGCTCTGTCCTTTGAGTGCTCGACCTCAAGGGGAATGAATGCAAGGCTGGGATCGAGTTAATCTCCAATGGCCAACGATTTAATTATGCCTGTGTAACTGGCCTCCTTAAAGACCTTGAATGGTAAGGTTTGGTGAGCATATTCACAAATCTAAAGTGTGGTATGCTCCAACTCTATGGAGACGAAGTGTCCTCTTCTTTAGACAGGAGGTCGGTACACTTTCTGTAAGGAGGTCAGTACTTTCAGTTTGGGGGCCCTACATTCTTACAACAGCTGGTGAGTTGACAAGGGCAGTCACAGTTAACGTGCAAACAAATGAGTGTAAGTGACCCAATAAAAATGTATTTTTGGAAACAAGTAGCCAGTGGGATGTGCTCAGTGGACAGTGCTCGCACATCTCTGGTCTCATGAAAGCCCTGCTACTTGTCACTGTTTTTTAAACAACAGAGCAGAGACTGGCTGGACACTATGTACCAATCCATTTCAATAACTACTATATGTCCTTAGCCATAAGAAAAATGTCCCCATTAGTTCTGAGTTCCTGAAATACAAGCCCAATGAATAATTTGAGGCCCAGAAATTCAGAGACCATTTTATTCTCAAAGCACATTCATTAACCAATTTCAAATGAAATCTGTAAGTTAGTCAACTACAGGTTCAGAAATGATTACAACAGACTATAACTATAAAAACCAAAATCAACCTTTAAAAATCAACAAAAATTAAAATAATCATGGAGTATTTTACTGTCTATTTGTAGCTTTAAAAAAATCAGCAAACGTCTTTCCTGCCTTCTGTGGAAGTGGGGACTACCCACTAAAGGATTCCATATTCTTTACCTTGATATGAACAGGTTCCTCCCTTTTAAATCACTTACTGGCTTTTAGTATAAACTCTAATGACTGAGTAAAAATCTACACTATCAATAAATGCAATGTTTATGTTTTATTTTCTGCAAATTTAGGAGAAATTTACAGATGCAGACATGGACAAGTGATTCCTTAAAGCCAATAACAACCATTTCAAATTTTAATAGAATATCAATCATACTTCAAAATTTCCTAGTCTATACCACACCCCTCCCCACAAGGCTCGGGGAACATGGGGCAAGGCTGTGAATGAATCAGACGTCCAGGAATACTGGATGAACTGACATCTTCTGGATGTGACAGGACCCTATGTACCCACAAACTGACAGCAACTGAGGCCGCCTCCACAAGACAAACTAGTCAACATCCCAGCATGGAATGGGAAGCGTCTCACAAGCCCTAGCCAAGGAGCCATTGACAGTTATGGCTTCTGGGGAGGGAGAGTCAGTTTCTTTAGGGGTGTGGTCCCTGGAGATAAACCATGCTCCAGGGGAGTACCCCACACCCCATGAGCATGTGAGCAGCACAGACAGACTACTCATGGGTTGTTTAAAACATAAGAACATGAAGTTGGGAGGAGAGGTGAAGGGTGGACCTGGGAGGAGTTAGGGAGAGAATATAATCAAAACATATTTCATGCATGTACAAAATTCTCAAAGAATTAATGAAAATCACTCTATCGACAAATGACCTACTCTCAATCCTAAAGACAGGAAGAAGCATTTTCTTCAGTTTAAATCAAAAGGCCATTTTGGTTCCCAGTAGGTAGGAGATCTAGCAAATAAGAGATAACATTACAGAAGTTCATGACACTCTCATGGCCAGGCTCTTTCCTGCATAAGAAAGCCTTCTACAATGTTATCTGAGATCACTCTTTGATATCATGGTTTCATTTAGCTTATATGCTGAAAATTCTTTTGGGTATCTCAAAGATCCACAATTAGTGCAAAAAAGAGGAGTCTTTTTTTTTAAGTCATTAAGTCATTCTTTCTCAGCATAAACAGAATTCATGTGGCTGTGAAATCGTATGTATAGGTTTCCTACTTTGCTTTCTGAAGGCTAGCACATATAAAAATAGATTGACATTAGGTTTAAGTTACATATATTATAAGCTTTATTTTAACTGCAAAAATAGTTTAGCCACATTTAAGGGAAAATAAATGTATTGAGACTATAAACTGCATATTTCTAGAACCAGATGTAAGAATACTGATTATTTTTCTTGTTAAGTGGATACATGCCCCAAACTTCCGACAGTCACTCTGTAGCAATGAACACACTGAAAGCACTGGTCCTTGTGTGGAGAATCCACATCTGCTGTTCACATTCGTCCATCTGTAAGGCTTTGGTGTAGGTCACTCCCAGAACTCTGGTTATTTATCTTTCTTCTTTGCCCCTTTCTTCTTCTCCTCCTCCTCCTCTTCCTCCGTCCGCTTTTCCATGTTTCTTCTCACGTCTGTGCTTGCTGCTCCTCCTCGGCCTTCCTTCTGCGAGCTGTCGATGATCTGATAGTCCTCCAGGAGAGTGTGTCCCGTCTGCTTGGCAGTCTTCTTCACGATGGCTTTGAGGCCGATGTTGTCGATATTGTAGGCAGTGAGGCCGACGTTGAGAGCGGAGTCCACTGCGTGGTGTGTAGCCTCTCCTGCATTGTGCCCGTACCTTAAAAAGGGTGAGAACGTAACAATGTCATACACAGCAGTTCTGGAAACGTTCTTCTGAATCAGCGGTGACTGACTTCTGTGCCACCCTGAAAGCAAAGCTGAAGCTTAGGTTCCAATTTAGTTAATAAGTGAAGACATGGGAGAGGATAAAACCGTTACAAAGCTGCATCTCCCCTTTATCAAAAAAAGTATGTGGAGATAAAAGACTAGCTAGAATGGTAATAAAAATGGTGGAAAAAAAACCCTTAAATGTAAATTAAAAACAAACATCGTTAATCATCTGTTTAAATTCCCGCTTCACTTCTCAAAATAACAAATGTAGGTACTCCTTAACCCACGAGCGTCTACAGGACCCCTACCTCCGGCATCACAAATGCCTTAAACCATGAGCAGCTATCACAAACGCTCCTCAACCCACCAGTGTTGAATTTCCTCTTAAGCAGTGATTCTGTGACACTCTCCTGGCACCTCACTCCACTGCCAACTCACTGGCCATCTTGCTGTCTTTAACACCCAGGAAATACACAGAAGCCCTGACCTCCGCTGTCGGGTCTGTCCAGACTCGTCACGGCTCGATGCCTCCCTGGCCCTGAGCAGTCACTGCCTCCTCCTTAGACTCTAACCTGTTCAGATGGCCTTGGCCACGCCCCGCACTTCACTGACAACCAAGTCTATCTTGACTGCCCTTTCCTCCTCCATAGCTCCCCATTTTCTACACCATAGAATGCATTAATGACAACTGTTTACATCTTCGTTTATCTCACTAAAATATAAAGCCCACTGCACAGGGAAATCTTTGCTTTGTTCACAAATGTACCCTGTGCTTCTGAGTGTCTGGCATCTAGTAAGTGTTTAATGAGGGAATGATATGATCACGTGTGGCACTGTCTCCCTCCTCTCTTTCTTCACTCTCCTCCTCCCCAGCCCTCCTTCCTGCACGGCCCAGGCTGACTGCAAGCTCAACCCTCTTGCCTCTGGCTTCTGCTGCTGGGATTACATGCAGGTAACACCATGCCTGACCTGTCTCAGATTCTTCACCCAGCGTGGAACTGGTCACGGTACAGTCAACTGTACACCCATGCTTATCACTGCTTTTTGTAGGAGTCAAGTGACAGAATCACCGAGGGGACCATTACTGGATGAATAGAGAAAGAAAACTGAATGGATAAAGAAAACTAATAAGCTATAAATACAATCCAGCTTAATTCATCAACAAGGAAGTGGAATGTTGTCAGAAGTGAGGAGAACCACATTCAATGAGAGAAGGCAGTCTCACAAAGTCCAATGCTGCTGAATTGTTTCTCTTACACGTGGAATCTGAGGTGGGTGAAGAATTCGAGAGTGAAAAATAGAGTCTATAGGGATATGGAAGAAGAAAAAGGGGACAGGAAGGGCAATATAGGGGTGCATTATATGCATGCATGGAAATGTTATAATGAAATTTACTGCTGTGCATAATGAATATACAGCAATGGAAATGCATAGTAGAATACATGAGAAATTGTCAAAGCACACAAAAGTGCTTAGTATTGAAAAACGACAGCAAGTCTTTAACACTGCGTCTCTGAGAAAGCACATCTGAATTATACAAGGATCTACAGCAGACCTCCCCACTGCTTCTCTGGCCCACACCCTGCCCTGAGGACAGGCTTTTAAGGCTTTGCTGACCCACAAAGGCCTGCCTGTATAACAATAGCCAAAGCCAAGGTTCAAATCTTCCTACACACGAAATCTCATGGAGAGGGCTGCGACCTCTGGACTTACTACATTTATTCATTTATTTATTTGGGTATGTGACATAGTGTGTGAGGAGGTCAGGAGTCAGTGCTCTTCTTCCACTGTGCAGCATTGAGCTCAGGTGGCCAGGCTTGGCACGGAGGGCCAGCCCTGGACATTTTATATAAGCACTGATCTGCTTTTTGCTGTAAGGAATCTACTGCCAGCCTGCCTGACCAGAACAGGCTTGAGACTCCTTGGCTTTTCCAACTCAGTGCTGTAAGTCCACAGTCTTCTTACCGCGGCCTGGATGGCTGCCCCAATTTTTCCTCAGCATGGAATTAGCAATTACAATCAATAGAACCCACAGCTAGCCAAAACCTATCTCAGAACCATCCTGGAATGGGGACTTTCTCGTTAGGCACAAGACAGAAAAGCTTCCTGTAACTGCTTTCTGCAACCCCTCAGCATTTTGAAGTATTAGCTGCCCTGTAAGAGGCACCGCAGTCATGGAAACTCTCAGCAGATCCACCACTATGATTCAATGAAAGAATGAAGTGTGAGCGTCAGCATGGAAAAGTGACCAAAACCCCCTGACAATGGTAACCAGTAAATCCCTAAAGCCAAGTCTGAGAAGATACAAGGACAGCAGATCATACCCTGGAGGATACTTCACAGCACTGTGGGGGCCACAAAGAGATGATGCTGAGTTTACGGTCCTGTTTTCAAGAACAGTAAATTGTCCAGATGTATAAATGCCTAACTCTGAATAGCTGGAACACTCCACTCAGCAGTTTGACGCCTCTCATGGAACATGATATTTCTGTGTGTAAGGTACTTCTAAAAGCTACAGATTCCTTGATGTGTTGAATGAGTGTCTCAGTCTCTTGACTTTTTCTTCAGGCTTCAACAACTGCTCCAATGTGGAAAACTCACACTGAGCTGGGAGTCAGGAAACGACATCAGATACTACTGTGCAAGCAACCGGTCATAAGACTTTGGCCAACTCTCCCTGTCTCTGCACTTCTAGCTCATAAAATATATATATATACCTGAAATCACTTAGAAAATACTGAAGTACTGAGCCATAAACTTTATGTGGCTTTCACTTGCTGTGTTTATTTTCTAATATGTCCTCATTTATCGGCTTTAATATCCCTTACACACAATTCTCCGAATAGATGCCTATTCCTCTCTTCCTAGGTAATTAACCACTCAGCGCTTTACTGTATTTCAGCTCAAAATGTACTGCTCAAAACTCCTCAAAAGCGTGGATCTGGGTAAGAACATAAAGCTTGGGTTTTTTTTTTTTTTTACTTTTAGTAAATGAGAGCTTCAGTTACACTTTGAGGACAAACACCACAACTGAAGGACACTAATGTGACTGTGAAGATGTTCTAAGTCAGAGTGTCTAATGTGCGATTTGAATCAGAACTGTTCAGATGTGTTCACTGATGTATTTGCCAATGTGTTCACTGATGTCTAGAGACAGAAGACTGCAGCGAGTCAAGATCTTACGGGTTAGTGCTGCAGCATGACATGTCACATCAATCAAGAGATATGCAGCCTTCAATACTATGCTCAGAAATAGTGACCTAGAATATTTAAAGTGGAAACAAATCTTATTCATCTATTTATTGAAAGTAGGCGGCTGTGGTGAGTTTAGGAAGGCCATGTGGGTGAAGCTAAGGAGTTTAAGTTTTTCATGAAAGCAATGGAGGGAAAAATAAGCAAAGGAATGGAAAGGCCAAATGCATGTTTTCACAAATCCCTCCGACTCCGAGTGCAGTGGGAGTACAAGGCAGGAAACAGGCTGCGTGTCAGACAAGAAGGAAAGGGTCTGTGTGAAGGTGGGACCGCACAAGGTGGGGTCGGGATGTGCTGCCTTAAAGTCTACACTGGCATGTGACTGAGCCTGGAGAGTTGGACAAAAAATAGACAAGCCTTACTGGTGCAGAGGTAGGAGTGACATCCACAGGCACAGATGACTGTGCCTGATAGCTTTACGTCAACTTCACACAAGATAGAGAGATCTGAGGGGGAGGAACCTCAACTAAGAAAAGGCCTCTGTAGGGCATTTTCTTAATTAGTAATTGAGGGGCTGAGCAAACCGTGAAGAGAAAGCCAGTAAGTAGCTCCCTTCCATGGCCTCTTCATCAGTTCCTGCCTCTAGGTTCCTGCTCTGTGTGAGTTCCTGTCCTGACTTCCTTCAGTGATGAACAGCAATACGGAAGTGTAAGACAAATAACCCCCCCCCCCCAACTTGCTTTTGGTCACGGTGCTTTTTCACAGCAAGAGAAATCCTAAGAAAATGACCCTATGCAGGAAACAAGGGTCTGTAATGAACACGGCCGGAAGACATCAAGCCTTGGGAGTGAGTGAGATCCCCACTGGGCGGCCTGCATGCAGACTGCTACTTACTGTTTTTAATAAGCATTGAGTATTGCGGCAAAACCAGGATGGGTCTGCAATTAGATTTACCCACAAAAAGTGCTCAGAAAATGAAACATCAACTTAGTTATGGGTCAAAATCAACAAAGCAAAAGTAAGCAGCATAAAGGAAAGGTCTTATACAGATGCGGGGCTGGATGAACCGAGTGGAAGAGCTCTGCCGGATGCTGCGTTCATTCCCAGCACTATACAAACAAAGGTCTAGATCTTAAAGGGCTATTTTTTAAGTGTCAAATAGGATATACGTCAGTAAAGTAATGGCTACCCACAACTTACACTGTCTTGTGTCCCTTATCGAGAGTGCAGAACATAACCTACGTAAGAGAAGCCACTCCTCTACACCTGATCCTATCAGCATGGATCTAGAAGACCCAATCAACTCTGATTACTTTCAGAAAACTGACAAACTTGAACCTGTCACTAACAAAATGAAAAGTGATGGAAAGAATGAAAGGCCTGGAAATCATATTCAGAATTGTTCAGGAAACCAGAGTGCTCAGATAAAACAAGAGACAGGGAAACGGTGCTGTTTCAACATCTGTACAGATCTGTATGCAACAGAGGAGACCGACTATTCCTGCACAGAGGTCACATAGATCTGGTTTCAGAGACTACGGCATCTGTCATTGGAGATGACACCTCCGGAAATTTAAGGGGCATTTAAATCAAATCTTACTCTAAACAAGCCAATATAATCTAGTGCCATCTGGGAGTAAATTGCTTCCAGTAAAACACTGTTCAGCTTATTTTTCCACATCTAGATAGAGATAAAATTCTGCCAGGAGAAAATACAAACAGACCTAACCTCTGCAGTGATCATTCTCCATAACAAGTCAGAGCAGAGCTAAGACGCCTCTGCGGCTTTGGAAGCTAATCTGGGGTGAGGGGTATTTGGTGGTCAGGCAGCCGCTGCAGCTGAGTTCAGTGGGCTAAGTCGCTTATGCCTTTCCAGTATTCCTGTAGTGAAGACACTTGCCTAAATCTAAAAAACATGAGACCAAAGTATTAACATAAATGACAAGAAAGTCTACACATTCACCTAAAAAGGTTCAGTGTCCCTACTCCCTGAGACCAACACCAGCAAACACCAGGTAAGGAAGTTCAGACACAGTATTTGTTTTCCTCCCAGGCATAATGCATATGATGGAGGCAGACTTAAAAATTCGTGGGAGAGCAGTGTCTTCCAAAGGCAAGAGGACACAGCTTCTTCATTACACTAAAATCAGTAGAACACAAGTAAACACTCATTCTCCTTCCTACAGCGTCATAAATGTAAGGATACAGAAAGCATAGATTTAAATAAATAACTAAATTGAGTGAAGAAATTTACAAAGAGCTCTTCTATTCTCCCGCTCTATCACTGTTGCTGGCTCAACCGGTATGTTTTGTCAAAGATATTTTCTACTTCTGGGCCTCCACAGGTACAAAATCTGCAATACTGGGGCCAAATCCTTAATCTCCCATGGCCTCTCCCTGCTTCCCAAGATTCTAACTGCATAAATTAAATAACTGTTACAAAAAAATCACCCTTATGGTCACTGGTTCAATGCTGGGCAACTCTGCCTTATTTATTCACACCATGTCTCTTTGGAGAAAAGAATATAATAATACTAACAAAGAGCATCACAGGCACGAATTCACTCAGGACCATTGTTAAAATACTGTGGGTCTGAACAAAAATGTCCCCCATAGGCTCATAGAGGATGGTGCTATTGGGATGTGTGGTCTTATTGGAGGAAGTTGTCAATGGGGAGGGGCTTTGGGGTTTCAGAAGCCCAAGCCAGGCCCAGTGTTGCTCTCTCTTCCTGCTGCCTGCTGGTCCAGATGTAGAACTCTCAGCTCCTTCTCCAGCACCATGTCTGCCTGTGTGCTGCCATGCTTCTCGCCATGATGATAAACCTCTGAAACTATAAGCCAGCCCCAATAAAAAGTTTTCCTTTGTAAAAGTTGCCATGGTCATAGTGCCTCTTCACAGTAACAGAAACCCTAAGACAAGTACCTTGTTCATCACACCCATCTCCGCACTAATGATCCACACATTTATGGAGAAAATTTAACAAGCACTTTCACTTTCCAATATCTGTGCTAAGAAATGGTAATAATTTACTCTGTGTTTGTTTTCAGCTCTGAGTAAACCTGACACCCAAGCTGATTTGTCAAGTTGCTTTGAGTTAAAGGCATACCCCACACTGAAAGAACAATTTAGGATGAAAATTAAATTTAGTACTATCTAAGCTGAAAGCAAGCTAAATAAAGGTAGACTGATGGTTCCAGAAGTCAGTCCAGAGCACAGAAGTTGTAGCAATGATCCACCAAGTGGGGAGGTGGCTCAGAACTGTTCCCCGAGTGTAAGCAGAGTGGAGGACCTGATGGCAGACACTTGGTTTATACCACAGCTCACCACCTCGCTGGGAATGTAAACTCAAACAGCTCTTTAACTTTTAATGTTTTAGTTTCCTTCCAAAACTGTGACAGAAATGCTAAATATATATATATATATATATATATATATATATATATATATAACATTTGATATTTTTTATATATTTCTCATATATATGAGAAACCCTGAATACAGTCCAAATACATTAAATATGAACTCAAATAGTGCCACTATTAATATTACATTTTTGCATGTGTATGTTGTATGCATGTTTGCACGTACATGCATGTGGAGGCCTGAAGCTTACCTGTTCCTTGATCACTCTCCACTTTAGAAATTAAGGCAGAGTTTCTCTGAACCCAGAGACCTCCAAGTCCATCTTGCAGGACTGCTTGTCCTGGGAATCCATCTCTGCAGTTCCCCTTCTAAGGGGCTGCCATGCCTGCCTGGCTTTATGTTGGTCTGGGGATCTGAACTCCAGGCACTGAGCCTCTCTCCAGCCCCACTGCTCCTTTTTTTCATGAACAGTAAGATCCAAACTTACGTGAAGCTAAGCAAACAACTCAGACCCCGCTAGATTTAGTTTTTAGACCCCAATTTCTCTGATTCAGACAGAAAGAGAACATGACCAAAGGTACACTTCATGCACATGTGAAATGTCACACTGAAACCCGGGTTTGTACAGTACACACTGATTAAAAAAAAACCTAAGTTCAAACAAAGAAGACACCCAAAAGCCAGCGTTTTAAATCTGTTCTATAATAACACCACCAAAGTATGCTGCTCAAAGGTGTTTGGAAGCAGGTATCCTGCCACCTTTGGCCTAGTCTAAACTTTTAGTCTTTGTGTAGCTTGTTGGTGATACTTGTTCCTCCCACTGACTCAACTCCATATGCTCGACCTCACAACTGCTGACCGTAACAAAACCTAATAGCTGACACCAGAGTCCGGTGAGTGACTTCCTCTCTGTTTCTCTAAAGCAGCCAGCCTACTCCCACCCCACCCCAAAGCCAAAGGCTCACAGACCTTAGTAAGGTCACTGGCCCTCTTCCTTCACCTCTTTGGAATGCCTGCCTTCCCGGTGCATGTGCTCTGGATGAGGACCCTGCTGCCCGCACACTATGTCTGTCCTCTGGAAGAGGACCCTGCTGCCTCACACTGTGTCTGTCCTCTGGATGAGGACCCTGCCGCCTGCACACTGTGTCTGTCTTCTGGATGAGGACCCTGCTGCCTGTACACTGTGCCTGTCCTCTGGAAGAGGACCCTGATGCCCGCAGACTGTGTGGAGTCTGGAGTGAAAGGCTTCTGACTTCCTGTGCTTCATTGCATCCAGTCAAGAAACTGGACCGAGAGCTAAGGGGCTTCCTGTGACAAAGACACTTAGCTATGAGTTGGACACAGGCTTTAGGTCACTGCTAAGGAGAAGGGAAGTGAGTCTGACAACCAGCAGGGCACACTGAAGTCAACTCTCTCCAGAGCCCTCAAACCAAAGACGAAAGAAGTCACACCACCAACATCAGATAAGCTGTACCAATCCATTTCTGTCCTGCCTACTTAATGTATAAAGAGATGACATCTCTCTAGTCCAAGGTAAATGTGCAGTGGTAATCATAACTTAGTAGTCATGGTGCATGAATAAGCCAATGCTAATATGGGACCTCCAATCCAATCAAGCCTTTATTGTTCTCCTTCAAGCAAACACTACCATCAAAATTATGCAGTTAAAAATTAAACATTCTTTGCATTAATGAACATTTATAACAATTAGTGTAAATCAAAGCCACAGGAGTTCAATCAGCATACTAATATTTTCCTGATTTAGGAAACAGTGAGTGAAAAAATATGCTCATCAGAGAGTAATTACATAAATCTTAACCACCATGGATTGAGTTAAGTATACAGGAGAATTATTTATTCTCTACAATGAAGCTGCACTTACTTGTATCTGACAGTTTGTACGGTTTCTGCAGACACATTGTTGACGATGCATTTAGCCGCACACTCCAAGCCCTGCCAGACAGTTGAAAATCCTGTAAATGTACATCAAAGTCAGTCTCACTCAAGGCATACAGCCTGCCTGAGTTTCTCAGGTAGCTCAGTGTCCTCCCAGAAACACAACAAAAATAAAAGAACAAAATAAACCCAGGGCCTTTTGTTACCTTGAACACTACTTGCTGCCACGACCATGGCGCCATCCAGAGTGGATTTCCCGTCTTTGTCTCTCTTGAGAGACTCCGGAACGAGTTTGCTTCCATGCTTCTTGACATGTGGGGCGAGCTCTTTGCCAAAGCAATTTGCTACCGTGCAGACGCCATCAACTGACAACCACAGAGAAAAGACTCAGGGAACCTGCTCTCTTGATTTTACCACCTGCGTCAAGCAAAGTTCTCCATCGCCATCCACAGCTGCTTTTCTGCGTGACTGTCACTGTGTCTGTTAGCTGGGTTTGTTGTGTCTATGGAAACCCTGCCCCTTGGACAGACTTCTGTTAGAAAGAAAACCATCCACTTTAATTTTTCTGATTCAAGGAAGACTTAGTGTCAGAAAAGGTAATCTTACTGGATTTAATGGAAATCCACTGAAGATTGATACAGCTCTATTAAAAACAAATCTTGGGGCTGTGATTCTAGAGTGTCGCCTGGGGAGACGGACACAGAACCACTGCAGCTGGGCTGCGGGTTTAACTGTGGGGGAGGGGGAGCTGCTTCATACTCTTTCTTCATACTCTTTCCTTGTGAGACCGAGCTGTGGGCAAACATTTAGCCTAGTGTGGAGCAACAAGCGCGTCTCCGTCACCCTGGAGGCCGCCCAGGCACTTACCCAGGAACTGGCTGACCTTGGCTGCCCCTCCAGTTGCCTGCTTCGCTATGTAGAGGCCCTTGGTGACAGCCGGACTCACTTCCACGGGTTTCTCCTCTGGTTGAATGCGCTCTCGGAGTTTAGAAGCACCTTTTTGGATTGCTTTACCAGTAAATTCAGCACCTTTGACTAAACCCCAGCTCACCCAGGAAGCACCTTTTACAAGGGAAATTTAAAATTGCAGAGATTAGGACTAGTTATACCTTTAATTAAATCTTTTAATAATATGAGCAGAAAAGATCCTAAATGGGCCATGAACATCCTAATTGCATATCTACAGCTTCTTACTGAAACAAATCTTTCTCTATTGAAAAAAATTTATTTTTATTTTATGTGTGTGAGTGTTTGCATGAATGTATGTGCATCACATGCATGCAGTACCCAAAGAGGCCAGAAGAGAGTGGAAGACTCCCTGGAACTGAAGTTATAATGCTTGTGAGCCACCATGAGGGTGCTGGGAACTAAACCCAGGTCCTCTGCAAAGTGACCAGTGCTCTTAAACACTGCACCATCTGTGTGGCCCGAATGAAGCCTTTCTAACTAAGCCTTTACTTAGGTCACGCATCCTTCTGGACCAGAATCCTGCATTATTCTGAGCTGTATCACAGTGTGCAGGAATCTGCTACTGATTACCCTTTTCTATTATCAGATCCTGATGTTGAATTCTGAATTGGGGTCATTAAGGCAGCATCTGGTAGGAGGAACGAGGCACTCTTGTCCTTCCTACCTTAGTTTAGGCAACATTTTCCCCCTGTGAAATCCTGAGAAAGACAATTAAAGCCAGAAAGTAAAGAACCTGCTTTTTGAAGACTCTTGTTTGCTTTAGACTCACACATTAACTGGGCAGGGGATCCTGTTCTCTCCATTCTAGACTCAGTTCAGCATGCTGCACCTAACAACAAAATCATGAGCGCACTGACAGATGGAGCGGCCTGGAGCGAAGCTGCCCCTGGTGCATGGCCCCACCCCTCACCTTTACTACGCTTCCCACAGCCTGAACTAGAAAAGTTGTTGCCACAGAGACATCACAATATCAGAGCCTTGTAGGAGGGAAGAGAGGTCTTGAACTAGAGGGCAACGCAGGAAAGGAGCTGAAGAAATACAGAGAAGCAAGAGGAGCATCCTTCTCCTCTTCCAAGAGCTTGCAGTCTAATCTCGTTCACAACCAGCTCCAGAACAAAGGGCTCTTAAACACCACGTTCATTCTCTCCAGGTCTGCGGCAGTAAATGCTACCGGGTCACACGAAAACCACAGCCATTTGTTCAATGTATCAACAATTCAAAGTAGGGTATAGTAACTCATTAGGAAACTTTCTTTTTCTTATCTCACTCAACCCCCTCTCAATCTCTTACCCAAAGACCACACAGGAAGCAGTGCTGGCAGAGGACCAGCTACCATCCAGGTGAGGAGAGTCCCAGAAGAACAAAGGCCTGAGGATGTCCATCCTAAAACGGGGGGTGGGGGGTGGGGTGGGGTGGGGTGGGGTGGTAGTGCACCCAGCAGTTAAGAGAATGCTGCTCTTCTAAAAGACCTGAATTTGGTTCCTAGCACCCACGCCTGGCAACTGAAAACCACCTCTAACTAGCTCCAGGAGATCTGACGCCCTCTGGTAGCCTCCAAGGATACTACACTCACATGCACACGCATCACACATAGTATATATATAAACAAAAATAGATCTTTTAAAAAAAATGTGTCTAGATTTCTTGACTTAGAGGTTAAAAAGTTTGGAAAAAAATTTTTAAGCTGAATTTGAAGAACCAGGACTGAAAAAAATCACAAAATAAAAAGCAATACAACAAATGAGTCTATAATTAGCATTATATGAAACCATAAGAAACAAAAAGAAATATTCCTTTGTGATTATGAAAAATAAATGAAATTGAGATACATGAAAAGTCATTGCCCTAAGGGAAGCCAGACCTGGACACTCAAAGCTTGTCACCAGGCAGGAACATGATACCAACACATAGGGTGAACCCAGAGACACCAGAACCAATGATAACATGTGTTATACATTCATGGCAGCTCCTTGGAGCCTTTATGCACGTGTGTGGTGATAAATATCGATTATTTCTAGTCACAGCTGCATAGTTTGCCCTCAGGAATGCTGACACAATAGACAGAAAACAAAGATGAATGTTTGCTGAGTGAATGAAAGGCCGGTGGTAACTGACTTATCTAGACCAAACCTAACCACTACAGTTTCTGAACTGTTCTTCACTTTTACTGACATAAGGAAATCAACCACTTGTACTTGTACTAAAATAGAAAACCTAAACCATGGCTTCCTCCCCTGGCAGAAGGGAGCTTAAACCTGAGGGGAAACAGATCTGATTTCCTAGGACATTTTCGATTATTTTATCATAAGAAATAATTTTAGAACACTGATATTTCTATATTTGGGCTTTTGATATTCAATATCTAGATGGGGGGGGTTAGTGGCACACGAGGGGCTACTGAGTCCCCAATCACATGTCATGTGTTTTCTCATGTTTAATGTGCCCCCCCCCAGTCTGTAAGTGGCCTATCTTAGCACTCCATCACCCTGAACCCCATCAAATGATTAGCTGCATGGATACAGGACTGTTCTCTGTGATCTGAAGACTACCTGAGGTCAGGGTGCTGCTGGGAGGTACTGTGGACCTAACGACGGGACCTTAGGTCAAGCACTATTACCTCAAAGGGAAGGATGGGACCTCAGCCCCTGCTGCTGCTGCTCCCTGGCTTCTCCTCTACTCCAGTCCAGCAGTCTTAGAGAGGCACCCTCCCATGGACTGCCACCTCCTGAACCTTTCTGTCTTTATAAAGGCGAGCGCCTCTGGTATTTTGCTGTAGCAGCAGAAAGCGACTACACTTCTACAGATGAAGGAACAGTTTTTCACTCTCTTGGGAGGCGTCTGAGACTTTGCTGTTGTAACAAACACTGCAAAATTGTGGTGGATAAGCAGTAGAGATTCGCTTCTTGTGACCTGAGACTGGAAAGTTCAAGACTGGGGTGCTTTCGAGGCAGTCCTGAGGACACTGGAAGCAAGGTGACCTCCTAGGCCCCTTCACAAAGGTTCCCCCTCACAGCCCAGTCACTGCTCAAGGACCTCACCTTCTATTTTGTGACTTTGGGGTGGCACTTCAGCATGGGGATCTTAGAGGACACGAACCCCAGAATATGGCACTGGGGGAGGGGAGAGAGGATGAGAACTCAAGAAACAGGACCATGACGTATGCTCACATCTCTCTGATAGCTGGGGGAATCCCTGTAAGAACACACGCTTACATAGCAATGTGCGGCCTTCTCAGAAGCCCCACCCTTCTACCTGTCAGTATTTGTCAGTTATTTAACATAAACAAACCTATAAGCAACACTTTGTTCAAGGTTTGACTCTATGGTGGTTAATGAACAGCTTTGTGATACCTGACAGAATGTTGTGGGCCACCTTCTCACTCCATTCAGGTAGTTCTTTGGCTTTTTCTTCTGAACGTGGCTCACAGGGCACGATCTGACTCAAATTAACTTCTTCACTTGAAGTATCTTTAGTCTAAACAGCAAAAATGTTTCAAAATGCAAAGGTTAGTGAAGTACAAAGGAAGGGAATTGAAAGCATTATATAATGAACTGTCAACAAACACTAGCTGAGGTTAGTGAAAACATCCACCTTGTTAGTAAAAAAGGGGACACCAGAATTGCCGCACAACTGAAAGGTTCTGCCCTTCAACAAGTCTCACTGATGAGAGCTCCAACACAGCATCTACTAAAGCACACTCAAGCTAGCCTGTGCTCTTCTCCCACAGCTTATGACCCAAATCACAAGGATGTCACCCTCAAAGGTGCAGGTATCTGCTACCGTCAGGTTAAAAGAGTAGATGACTCAGCCAGTAAAGAAGGACGGACCTAAGTTAACTGGTTCTGACAGAAGAAAAAGTTCAACTTGAAACCTGAATATCTGGAGACACAATGACCTACCATTCCACTTAAATGGAAACACCAGTACTTCACAGACAACTGCAAAGATTTTGGCCAACACCTAAACTCAAAGCCAAGTTCACCCATTCTAAGAACACAGAAACAGCGACCTCAAAGTGTTATAAAATAACTTAAAAAAAAACAAGGTTTTCTGTGCCCAACAGATTACAAAGAACTTGGCTTAAAATGTACAAATAAACAGAGGGTTATGGAATTTGTCACACACACACACACACACACACACACACACACACCCCAAACAAACAAAAAAGCAAAACAAAAAACTCCCAAAACAAAACAGCTCTTCTTTATGGGGGGGGGGACGGGGACGGGACGGGGACGGGGGACCGGACACTACCTGACCGTAAAATCCAAAGAAAATCTGTATGACTAGGGCCAATGTCTCCAACATATAAAAACACCTGGAGACTGAGAAAAAAAAGATTAATGGCCCAATAGTAAAAGTGGGTGGCAAGGAATTGACAGTACACAGAGCACCCAACATCATCCCAAACAAAATGGATGTAAACTACAATATTCTAAAATACAATTTCTTGACTATCTCATTGCCAAGACATAAATAAACAAACCTCTGACCACCCACTCTCGCCCAGGCCCCGAGGAAACAAGTATATGGTTCCCCTCTCTGCATGGGATCTGGTGGGTGCCTGAGGTCACAGGCAGTGCTCAGCTCTGCAAATATTAGGAAATACTAGAACTAAGTTTTTCCATACATATGATACATAATGTACGTAATAAAATTTAACTAGAAATTATCAACAAGGAATAGCAGACAGAATAATTAAGAATGTTTTACAAGAGCAAAAGTAGAATGGTTTTTTCTTCTCCACAATTTCACAGACAATCATTATTTACTTATTATGTTCTGGGGGATGGAGCACAAATCCAGAACAAGCTCTCAGCCAACACACACAAGGTCTCTCTTAAAGCGGTGTGAGCACAAACGTTTGGTCACCCTGTTTGTGGCCGTGAGCAGCTTGTGACACGCTGGTGTGGTGTATGGCCGTCAGCTCGGCAGCATGGGCGCACACTTCCCACGGCCTTTTTCACTTGCCTTTTTCCCACGCTTTCCTTTATGGCGTGCATCCTTGCTGCCTTGGTCTAGTGAAGAACCTGAAGAACCCGAATGCCTGACATCGGTGCCAGAAGCTTCCTTCCGTGGCTCAGAGGGGTGACTTGCTCTCCCAGGGATTTGGAATTCATCTTCTCCTTCTGCTCTATTCCAGTTTGCCTGGAGCATAAAGGACTAGGCTTAGCTCAGCTGGCTTTTACAGGACACTTCCTCCAGGTACACCACACCATGTGCGGTGACACACATGTCCAAGTACCAGTGTCTGACTGGACAGACAGCTAACTGTTGCTATGTTTTCCTTTGTGTGTGTGTGTGTGTGTGTGTGTGTGTGTGTGTGTGTGTGTGCACGTGTGTACACTTAGCCATGTGTCTAGCCATGTGTGCTCATGCCATGAAGCACATGTGACAGTCACAGGACAGTCTTGGGCGTCGGCCCTCACCCTCAAACCACTGTTGTTTGAGAGGGTCTCCTGAACGCTGTTTGGCCAGGCATGCCTTGGATTCCTGGAGCTCTTCCTGCCTCTACTCCCCTAGCTGGACAGGGCTGTGCTGCTGTGCCAGGATTACAGATGCCAGTGCTACTGTGTGCAGTTTTTAGCAGGTTCTGGGGTCCACTCTCCTGATCAGCCTCCCAGGGCAGGTGCTCTGTCTCTGAGCCACAACCCTAGACCTCGCTTTCTTCTATCTAAACTTCTGTCTCACTTCCTTACCAAACCTTAAACCCCTTGAGTTCTCTGGGTTATGCAATATGGCTGACAGTGAAGTTCAGAAGAAAAGGTATAAAAGACAACCGTTAGCAGTTGTTCATGTAAGTGACCTTTAAATCGGTATTGCTGCTTTGGGATCTAATTAATGCAATAATAACTCCGAGGAGATACAGCAAGATGAGAATGTGTTCAAAGGCAAGGAATGAACAAAGCTTGTATATGACTGCACTGGACTGTTGGAAGGGCCAAGTGTCTGCATTTAATGCCACAGGCACTGTGGTGGTACAAACTCTGCTGAGTGAGCCAAGTGCTCACATGTAAAAAATCAGAGCCAATACTCGTAATTTTCAACTGTGATTCCGCAACAGCACAGAAACAAAAAATCAAATAGAGCCAGCGTAAATTCATAGAGCAGCGTCTTACAACCGAGTCCACTTAGTTTCCCTCCTAAAGCCTGACGGTGAAGGCCCACAGACGTGGGGGCAAAGGCGTTCTGTTCTAGGCCTGTGAGCACCTATACATTACTCTGAGTTATGTTAGGGAAGGCAGGAAGACCCACTCTAAATGTGGGCAGCAGTATCCCATGAGCTGGGGTCCTGACTGAATAAAAAGGACAGGGGCCTGAGCATCAGCATTCACCCCTCTTTGCCTCCTGACTGTAGATGCCTCAGGCTCCCGCTGCCTCGGGCTCCCGCTGCCTCAGGCTCCCGCTGCCTCAGGCTCCCGCTGCTGTGCACACCCCAGCCCCATGACAGGTCACACTCTCCAAGTGTGAGCCACAGCAAACCTCCCTTCCTCCAGCTGCGTCTGTCAGGTGTTCTGTTGCAGCAACAAGTAACTAATAGAGCAAGTGAGCAGTAACGCTGGGAGGTGGCCAGATCCACTCAGCCATGTCCAACCTTCCCCAACGCCTCCCTGTGAACACAAGGCAGGGCCACACTACTCGGAGGTTATGTGTCACGGTAACACTAAGTTACTGCACACACATGCACGCGCACAAGCATACGCGCGCACACGCACATCTACATCCTTATATTCCCCTGTCCCTGCTCACGACATTCTGCTATTGAACACATTTTAACTGGTTAATCAAAGAACCCAAATACTTATGACTAAAGGGGAACAAAAGTGTACACTGCCATGCTGTCAACCAAATTTAGCTGCAAGTAATTGTCAATACTCAGTTTTCAAACACTAAAAAAAAAGGAAACTCCACCACACTTATTTAGCTCACTCCTTGGCTGACAGACAGGGCAAACGGGCTAAGTAAGGAGGCTTGCTGGATGTTTTTATGGTTTGCATGGGAAGTATCCCCCCAAAGGCTCCAGTGCTAAGGGCAAAGGCTGTGTCTGCAGTGGGTGGACCCTGGCACTCAGGGGGACTGGCCTAGGAGGGTGTTGACTTGAGTTGACGGAGTAATGTACTGACAGACAACGGGGCGGACTAGCGAGACCTGGTAGGAACTTGAAGGTAGGCCTAACTGGAGAAGAGGGCCTCTAGGGGATGTCCATTTGAAGGGTGACTCTAGTGCATGGCTTCTCCCTCTGTCTCTCTCTCTGCTTCATGGCTGACATGACATGAGCAGTGTTCCTTTGCCACGGCTAGGAAGTCTAGAAGTATGGTGTCTAAAAGTATGGTGCCAGCAGCCATGGACTAAAAACCCCTTGGAAGCATGAACTGAATAAATACTTCTTCCTCTGGTGACAAATTTAATATGCACAGGGACCACACATCACTTTCTATTTGGCCTTCATTCACCATGAGGATAAAGAACATTGTATCCACCAAAATCTCTCTTGAAATACCATTCATACATCTAACATGTCCCAATCTACTAAAGCAGAATTATCTTCAGAATTTTACGTTAGGCCAACCTCACTGTAAACAGTGGTGAACAGGCACCATTCACTGGGCATAACCACCTGCTAGCTGTCCAGTGAGAGCTTTAGTTCCCACCACTGCCCAGTGAGGTGGACGTTATCACTGACCCCATATTAGAGTGAGAAAACCACAGGCAGAGCAGCTGAGTGAACTGAACTCTAATGCCTACAATCTGAACAACCGATGGCAGACAACTCTCATCTCTACGTCATGAGGAAAAAAAAAAAAGATCTCCCTGAAGCTTATGGGTCTTTGAAAGCAGTGGTGCCCACGTTAGTCGGTTTCATCTAGGACCCAGGTTACCTGGAGCCGAAGGTCAGACATCTGCCTCAGCAGATCCTCAAACAGCTCCCTGTCATCTTCTGGGGGCTCAGATGACAGAACCACCCCCACAAAGCACCCCGCCGCTTGTAACATGGTGTCTGGAAACATGTAGGCTCCCACGGTGCACTTGAGAACCGGTGATCTATCGGGAACCAGAGGGTACAGCCAGTCACACACCTGGAAGTCAGAGAAACAGGCAATCAGCCAATGGCTCTCCGTGACATTGTGACATTAAAGGCAAACATGTCAGAGTTTGCTGCATTTTAAGGTTCTACAGACCCACCATCAGCAACCCCAACTTAAATAAACCATCTTTCCTGATCTTCCTGCACTAAAAGCCGATGCAAACGCTCCGCAACATAGTCCTACAGCTGGTGGCCTTCAGTGCCCCTGTGTTTGACTAGAGATGATGTCAGCTTTAGATAAAAGATGAGTAATGTAAACTGAGGGCCGATTATTCTAATTAGCTCCCTTTGTAGCACTCAATTATTTTCTAGTACAGTGTCTGATGATATCCATTATATACTCACAGCATTCTATCAAACTGGCTAGTTCTTTTCACTGTTAACTGGTAAATAAAACTATAAACCTGTACATATAACAGGTAACCAGTAATGTTTTGATGAAGTTAACCATCCTCAGAAAGCCATCGTCTCTTCATCGTGAACTCCAATCTTCTCTCAAAGCAAGTATTTATCCTATACCCTACACAAGCACAGATCCTGACTTACTTCGGATCCACTGATTAACCCTCTCCTCTCACCCCGTCGACTTCCCCACACATCCTGGGTTCTCGTAGCCATCATTCCACTCCCAGCCTTCAGATCATGCGACACCTGACTCTCTGTGTCTCTGTGTCTGGGTACTTTCACTTAACAGAAAGACCCCAGTTGCATCTGTGGTACACAGTACCCTACCATACACACGTACCACGTTTTCTTCATCCGTAGGAACAATTGGGTCATTTCCTTTGTGAAAATGGTGTATCTCAGTCATTTTACAACAAAAGCGGAGGCACAGCCAGGTCACTTAAGTTCTCAGCACTGACAACCAGGAAGTACGGCTTGCACCGGAGCACATACTTTGTGTCAGGTGCACAGAGCAATGGCTTAGGTTCTGCCTTGCCAAACGCAGAGAACCTGATGTGTCATACAGCAGAGCACTGTCTGCCACTAGGGACCGTGACACTAAATCCAAATGACACTGCAGTGCCACCTGGGGAGGTCACGTCGTCCCGACACTCAGACTTAAGCGCATATCCTGGCTATCCTAATCAGAGTTCCTAAGTGTACTCCTTTCTCGTGTATTACATCCCTAGCAAGTCTAACTGCCCCAACCTTAGAACACATCCACCATGAAGAAACCTGAGGAGGAGGATCAATCCACTGAGACAAAGGGAACTCAGAAACAGCACCCCCTTCCGGCCAGCGAAGAGAATGGCAAAGACCACACCCACCGCTCAAGACTGACCCCTGGGAAGGGCCTGACAAATTTAAAAAAACAACAACAACAACAACAACAAAAAAAAAACGGGTTTTCTTCTCTATCTCAAAAGCCATCAATGTTTACTATAGAAAATTCAAGTAGAATAGAACCAAGCTAACTAACTACAATGCTTTCTAAACTATGAAGTGATGCCAGGGAACTCGGAAACCATTTTTTAAAAAAGTAGTTACTTATTTAATATGTATTAGAAAATCTGCTTATTAAAAATAACCTTACTCTCATGTCCTAAATATGTTAATAATGATTTTTAGAGCATAGGAGATTTTTACCGAATTTCTAATAGATAGCTGTGTTACTACCTGTTTTTTGTTGTTGTTTTTTTTTTTTTAGTATAAATACATTCAGTAGACATTGACTCTTCAGAACACTGCTACAAACAGCTAACATGTGACTGACAGCCGATTAATTAAACGTGGGGTGCAATTCTACTTTCTATTTAGGACCCAAACACAAGGGATGTAAATTGTTGAGAACCAAACTGAATCAAGACAAGACAAAGAGCTGGTGGAGTCTGAGCATCTTCTCAGCTGAGATCCGCAGCCAAAGGCCATCTTTCTAATGCTCTCTTCCTTCACCTCCTGGGCCAAGGACCCCGAGGGCTCTATAGTGACTATGCAACACTGTTACCAGACCAGCAGAAACTCTCTGCAGCCCCTCCCTAACCTCAGTCATGAGCCTGCTCTCTCTAACCTCAGGCTTCCTCCTTAAGATAACTGAGTCATTCTTCTAGTCCAGTAATGAATCTTTGGACTGTGCCCCAAGAATGTTTTCCTCATCGCTGATTAGTTTCCAACTGTTGCTAACTGACTTTCAGGTTGGCTTCCATAAGAACAAGGGCAAAGCAGCATTAGAAGCACAGACAGCCAGTGTCTAGGTACTTTCCTTATCTGACTCTGGGCACAGGCAATGGCTTTGTTTAGACAGTGACTTCTCTTCAGCACAAACCCACTGATGTACACTGTGCCCCAGTTTTCAAGAGTCCATCTCCCAGCACCTACATGCAACCTTTCCACAGCAGATTGTTGCTGACTGTACCGGAGCAGACCCCACCCAGCCCACAGCAATGCCCCAACACACATTTTGCTTCACATTAGTCTTTACTCTTGGACCAACTGTATTCTGGTCAACCTCTCTGCAGTTCAGCCCTGTAGGCCAGAGCTTCTTAGCCTCAGCCTGACTGAGGTTTAGGGATGGATAATTTTCTTCTTGATGGGTTACTGTGTGGTCACTGAGCAATTTCTGTCTGCTCTAATACACCAGGACCACCACCCTTCAGCTGTAATGAAAACACTTTCAGACACTGTCAAAAATGATCCCCCAAGGGGCAAAACTGGCCCTGACTGAGTGGTTCTAGGCCAGTTCAGACCTCCAGGGGGGTCTTGGTAACATTTGTGGATATTCACAGGTACAAATTCTCATGATTCACATAAATTCCCTTTGAAATTTAAGTAACTACATTTCTTCTTCAGATAAAAAAAAATAGCTCTCTTAGGTCCTAAAATCAATCACAAATAAAACCAAGATCAAATTTTCTAACATTGAAAACAGAAGAAATCCCAGCAAACACAAACATGGATGTGTGCAGAACTCAGTAGACTCGTTTTTCTTCTGTTCTTATCCTGGATGCCTTACAAACATCAACGAATGCAAACGAGATGCTCTACCATGTCCTGGCTTATGCTCCCACGTTGCTTCAAAGAGCTTACCTGAAGAAACCCAGGAGGGCGGTTCAGAACCGTATCCAGAGAATTGTCCAGGAACCTCACGATGCGCAGGTACCCAGGGTATGACGGAGCACTAACCTCTCCCGCAGGGTTTACAAAAAAGATCTGCACACCATTTGGTATCAAAATCAGTTCGTCTGCGTCGAGCCCCAAGGTCTCGAGAGGGGGCGGCTGGGTATGGTTCCTGTAGAAGTCTTCTCCCACCGATGAAAACTCCCCCGAGTCTGTCCCATAGGAAACAGTGTAATGACCCTCGGCAGCCTGGGGGGTGTAGGCTGGGGGCGCTTCCGCGGGGCAGCTGGGCGAAGGTGAGGGCCCGGCAGAAGGCCCAGCACCAGTGGCCCCTGCAGCAGAGGTGCCCCCGTCCACTTCAGCATGCTGGGGGGCTGAACTAACCAACTCTGGCTCTGGGAACTTCTTGCATGTGTCTTTAGGAGGGAACTCTGGGTATAACTTGGGCACATCCTGAAGGTCATTCCGTAGAGATGTGGCAAGGCCCTTCTCTAGGATCTCTAGCCTGGTGCGGACGTTCTGAAGTGTTTCCTTCATTTTCTGCTGCATCTGTCGGGCAGACTCCCAGGCAGGGCCTGTGCACCCTGGCTCTGCGGCCGCGATGCTGATGCCCCTAAGCAGGTGTCCTATTCCTTGCTTGTAGTAGTTCTTTGCTTCGTCCTTCTGGCCTAACTCATCTGTGTTCAGTCCTTTATTAACAAACAAGAAGGCCTTCTCGTATGCTTCCTTGATGATCTTAATCTCAGCAGGTTCTCCATTTTCTGGCTCTCGCTCCATCTCTGCAAGACAAGAAACATCACCTGTCATTACCCAGCTAGCAGTTTGTGTATTTAGTCCTCTTTCCTACATGACTATATTTCAAGGACAGGGGCCTGCCCCACTGATCTTTGTCCTGTTCACTACTGCATTCCCAACCCTTCAGAGAAAGCATTCAGTAAGTACTTGACAGTTGATAAATGAATGTTCTTGGTCCTAAAATACTGTAAAGGGGGCTGGAGAGGTGAGTCAGAGTTCAGCTCTGCTCCATGGGATCTCTTTCCAATAGACTAACCCCAGGGCTGGGGAGGTGGATCCCTGGGGCTCACTGGCAGGCAAGTAGTCAATACTTGGTCAGCTCCAGATCCTATCTCAAACAAAAGAAAAACAAGGTGATGGCTCCTGAGAAACACCACCACCCACAGCTCACCTCTAAGGGGGGATAAATCTGTAAGATAAAAGATATGCATGTGCCCAAAAGGACACCTCCTCCAAAACTTAGCTTTTAGAAATCACACCTAAAATAGCTGGAAGGTAAACTATGGAGAGAGAAAAAGTTTATAAAATTAGAGCAAATGCCCAGAAAGGAGGGCATTGAAGTAACAGGATGAACGACAGGAGGTAAGAATAAAACAAGAACTTTGTCTAGAAGGCCCGGGGTGAATGACAACATGCTCGAACGGTTAGTTCAGCCCCCAGCATGCTGAAGCAGACCGGGGCACACTCGGCTGGAGGGGCCACACGGGCCACAGGTGCTTGCACACTGCATGCTCTCCTGTCTTCTCACTGGGCGAGTGGAACCCCAGGGCTGAAGATGGAATCCCCAGGGTGCTTCCAAAGTGACACATCAGACTGGAAGACACGTCAGAAAGCATTCAGGAAATAAAAACTGACAACGTCTGGTGTGTTCCTAAGTTTTAAGAAAGATTTCTACAACCCTGGGAGAATTCAAGATTTAAGTAGTAAAAATGAAAAATCAGAGATTAAAAAACAAGATAATTATTAACACCAGATAAAGCATGCCAAACAAAACCCATAAAGTAATCAGGGCATATTCTATTTTTCTTGGTGTCACAACATTGAAAATAGTGGATCTTGACGTTAGCAAAATGCTGCAGTAAGCCTTACTGAGAGGACAGGAAGATGGGTGGATGGAAAGTCTGTGTGCCAGGATGAAGGAGCTAAAACCTCTTTAGTGGGATTTTAACCTCCATGCCCAAGACTAAAAACCAAAAAGTAGCAATGTTAGTATACTGTTGAGAGATACAGAAACACCAAGAAATGGGTCAGAAAAGCAATCTAAGCTGCCTTTGGAAGGAAGAAGAGAGGTTGGCTTACAAAGATATTTAATTCTTTATGTACATGGTAAAAGTTGAATTACTTACTTTACAAAATAAATACAAGCCTTGCAGCAGCCTTGTCCAGAAGGATTACACTGTGGGCCACAAAATTAATTTTTATTTTCCAGGAACCACTAACAAAGTAAAAGGAAACAGGTGAAATATAATTGATAGCTTTTATTTATCTAATACAACCAAAGTGTTATTCCAAACAGTATAAAAGTGATTTGTGGAGTATCTGACTTTTGTGTCATGGCTTCCAGAGACAGCCTGGAAGTATTGTCTTCAGACAGTACTTCAAAGTTTATGTCCAGTCCAACATACCCACAGCAAATGCTCAATGCCCTCATCTGCTGGGCACTGTGGATTCCTTACAGCTTCTCAGGACAGGAGAGCAATCAAGGGACATTAGAGTGTCTCCATGGCTGTCTACACAATGAAGGCACCACAGACTTTAGTTGTCAGGCTTCACAGACCTGAAAAACAGAGGCCAAAAGCTGGCCTGATCACAGCAACTTCATGGTGGTGGGCAGAACACTCTCCGCCCCCAGTTCAGAAAACACCACATACAAGTGGCCACATGCAAAGCTATATTTGCCCTCCTCAGTGTCAGGACTGAAATGAAGCCCGCCCTGTCGCTGGAACTACCCTGTATGTCATCACAATGCTGCACGCTTCCACAGATCCCAACCACTTTCTCCTCCAGAAGCCACAGCACAAACGTTCTATAGTTCGTTTTCCTTGGGGCGCAAGGAGGCATGGACTCAGAAGTGTGCAACCTTCTAACAGCATCTTCTACACAGTGCTGAGCTGTATTCATGGCTGTCTGTCCTGGGCTGCGTGTGGTTTCTGGGCAGCAGGCTGGGCTCATGTGCTTAGAATAAAACACTGAACCAGGCAGTGTCCAGTCATATTCCTGAGGGAAACTGTCTACTCCATGTCCTGAGAAGATTGAAAAGTTGTTATTGATTTCATAATAATTTTAATTCTCCAAGTGTGGAACTAGAAATGTCTTCGGAATGCCGATTCCAAGTACTGAACAGTGCTTCATCAGCTTGATGGTCAAATCATCAAATCATGATGAACCAATACCTACTTCTAGATAACAATGGTGGACTTTTAACTTTTAAACATTTCTTATCTTTGAGCAAACAAATGTGTGTGTGAAATGTTGGCAGACACGTGCCCCAGGGCCTGGGGAGGTCAGAGGACAGTGTCGGGTGTGTGTCCTGGTCTTTCACCTTGTCGAAAACAGGGTCTCTTGCTTTTTCATTTTTTTCCCTGCCCCATAGAAGAGACTAGCTTCTGGGGAGTCTCTTGTCTCTGCCTCCCCTCCCCCAGTAGGAGGGCTGAGACGAGAGTTTTACACAGGTTTGGGGGGATTTGAACTCAGGTCCTCAGGCTTAGCTCTGTACCCACCGAGCCACCTCTTCAGCCCTTTTAAATATTCCAATAAAAGCCTTAAGAGGCACCTACTTCAAACAGCCTCATGTGTGTATGTATGTGGTTCACTTTGTACCAGCAGAAGTCAAAATCTGATTCAAAATACTTGGAAACTCAGTTCCATTCCACGACAGAAAAGGTTGCAAACAGTGGTGTTTAAGGGAACGGCCAGCAAGAGAAGTTCTGATGCCAGCGAGCCCGGTCTGTTACTGAAAAGGGGGGAGTGGAACGGCTCATCAATTTATACACCGACAAATTACATGCAGACATTAAAAGGGCACACGGTCATCGTGCAGTCTGACTTTTGAACCATTTTCATTTTTTAAAGACTTGTTTTTATTATTTTAATTACGCACACGTGGGGAGGGACAGGTATGTGCACCCGAGTGTCGGCACCCAGAGGCACTGGATCCCCTGAAGCTGGAGTTAGAGGCAGGTATAGCACAGCTATGGGCCCTGGGCACTGAACCTGGGCCCTCTGCACATGAAGCACCTGTCACCTGCTGAGCCATGGCGCCAGCCCCATTGTTCTGTTGTTTTTTTAAATGAAATATGGAATGATGAAATAAAGCTAATTAACTTACTCCTCACCCCAGATACATGCCATTAAAAAAATGAAAACCGTTGAGACTCAGTCTCACTGATGTGCACAATATTTCATGACTAGCTACAGTCAGTAGACTGTACTAAGATCCACAGACTACATCACTTACGCCTATCCAGGTTGGGGAACGTGGCGGACTGATACTCTGGGTGGGTTTCTATTCGACTCCTGTACCATCCTACCCAATTCTGGCTTGCTAGGGAACTGTGCGGTTCAGAAAGCACTGCGCATGGGCAGCACACCACATTCCACATTAGTACAGGGGTTTCCTGTTTCAAACAAGTCCTCCACAGCCATCATTCAAGACAATCGGGAAAGAGAAGGAAACAAGAGCAGTTCCCCGTCTCGGAACTAAGACCACTCCTCACTGCCCTATATTACTCGTTCAATTGCTTCTGTAAATTTTTAAGACAGTTGCTAATTTCTTAGATATCCGAGGGTCATTTTTATCGAGATAAAAGTTACACAATAAAAACTAGAAGGCAAAACCGTTAAGTGTATAATACAACAAAGCAAACCTCGGGGATGATCAAGAAATACCACAACCACAGGAGTAACAGCGCCAGCCCTGCACTAACGCAATAATGCAGCGTCACAAACCCGTGTGCACTGCCAGAGGAAACTTTTTCCAGTTACGAAGTTAGGTCGCAGGGGTCCCCAGAGACGCTGGATGCCAGTAACCTGTGTATCCCAATGAGCAAAACCCCGCATCATTCATTTCCAGTGCTGTGGCTCCTGGAGCTACCTGCCCACCCTTGGGCAAGCTGTAGGCCCTGGGGATCGAGAAAGCCAGTGGGGTTTGGAGAGAGAGAACCGTGGAGGACGCACACTAGGGATGAGCAGGGAAGGGATGGGAGGACTCGAACCAGGGATTCGCAGGAAGCAGGTATAGGAGGACTCACACCGAGAACACTCGAGGATCAGGAGTGGGAGGATCCACCCCATGGATGAGAGGGGACTCTGAGAACCAGGACCGGGGGGGGGGGGACACGCTGGGACCAGGGATGGGAGGACCCGCAGCAGGGATGCGCGGCGTCCTGGGGCGGGGAGGATCTAGGACCTGAGCGCCGCTCCCGGGGCCAGCACTGTGGGAGGTGCGGGGAGGGCGAAGGCTCCTTCAGTACTAGCTGGAATACCCTCCGCGGGACTTCTGGAAACTTCTCGCCCGCGAGGCGCGGGCCGCGGCCCCCCAGAGTCTGCAGCGTAGGTATCCCCGGGCTAGTCCCGGCTCACAAAGCCCCGCGTGACGCCCTCGGTGTCCGGCCCCGCCCACGCGTCACCACCCCCGCGCCGAGCTGAGCTTTTGCCCACTCTGACCTTCCAGAAGGCGCACGGCAGGCCAGCGGTCCGCCCCGAGCCCGAGAGCCTACCGAGAGCGCGCGGGTTCTGGTCCGACACCCTCCGGCCTCCGCCAGGCCCAGGCCACGTCGGAGCGCGCCTGCGCACTCCCGACCGGCCGCCCTGGGGCCGCTGAAGGGGCCCCGCAGAGCCACAGGCGATGACAGCCTCTGGCCGCCAGGGGGAGCCCTGGGTCGAGCACGGAGGACCTGGAGAACAAGCGTCGGCTGGAGCCTGGGACCCTCTACCTGACCTGTCAGGGAAAGTGTTAAATCTGTGGCACAGAAAAAAACAAAAAACAAAAAACAAAAAACAAAAAAAAAAACCAAACAAACAAAAAACAGGCCTGGGACTGGAGAGATGGCTCAGCTGCGAAGAAGAAAAAGAAGGGGTCATTATTTCTTATTTGTATCTATAATGCATAAAGAACACACTTCAATAATTTATAAAAGCAACAATTAAAAGTGAATAAAGGATTTGAGTAGATATTTCTTCAGACAAGACATGCAGACCACCAGAAAATGCATCAAAAGAGGGTCAATAATACCATGAGTCTTCAGGTTAGCTCAATTCAGAATGTGTGACTGACTTCTGGCTCATTAGAATGCCTGTAATCAAAATATAGGCAGTAACGGGTTTGGCAGATGGTTTTGCAGCCCTCCTTCATTACTGGTGGGAATGTTAAGTAACCCAACACAGCACAGCAAGTCTACCTGTAGCACGAATCTTAAAAGGTCTTATTAATAAAAACAAACCTGGAGCCAGATACTGGGGTCAACGCTGGAAGATCTGAGAAGCAGAACAAGCCACAGCCGCCTCACCTCGCAATTCCTTAGTTGATCCTATTTCCTCAGACTGGAAGCCTCTGAGTCCTTGTCCAAATGGATCTCAGCTGAACTGCTTCTCGAAAGCCTGAAAGTTTAACCAGGCTCTAGTTCCTGGTCCTCATGCCTTTTATACCTTTCTGCTTTCTGACATCACTTCCTGGGATTAAAGGCGTGAGTCACCATGCCTGGCTATTTACTCACAGAGATCCAAATGGATCTCTGACTCTGGAATGCTAAAATTAAAGGTGTGAGTGCCACCGTTTTGTGGTGTCTGTTCTGTTCTCTGACCCCAGACAAGTTTATTAGGGTGCACGACATATTGGGGAACTCATTATCTACCCCTAGTTAGAACTGTGCAGACAAGTATTTGTTTATCTTGGTTCAAATAATTGAGGGGTTATTATAAAACTCCTTTTACTCTGTTGACACCACCGGCAATCACCTGGATAGAGTCTCACAGAGGGATGGTCTGTGTTAGGTTAGATGTGTGGGGTGTCTTAGGTTAACTGAAGTGGGATGACCCAGCCCACTGTGGGCAGCACCATTCCCTAGACAGGGAGTCCTGAAAGCGGAGACATTGTGCTGAGCCCAAGCAGGCAGCCAAGTGAGCAGGCATGCATGCGTTTCTCTCTGCTCTTGACTGTAGATGGGATACAGGTAGCCGTTTGAAGTTCCTGCTTCCTCCCTCACGACAACGAACTGTAACCTGGAATAGTGAGCTGAACCAACCCCCTCTCTCCCCTAAGTTGCTCTTTGTTGGAATATTTTCTCACAGCAACAAACGGCACTAGAACACACTTCTATTTATTTTATTTAAATGAAGCAGGCAGGATTTTATAAAAGCATCCTGCCTCAGTTCTTTGAACTGCTTCCAAATTATATGCTCCAAATCACTTTACGATGTCATATCCACATTTTGTTTTTTTTTAATGCAATAAATCCATTACTTTAGGCAATAAAAAATTAGAATCACTTGACTGTAAAACTACTCGCTACCAGCTAATTATATTTATTCACACACTCAGTTTCTAGGAGCTACAAGAAAGATGGACAGTTCGGAGTGGTTGTGACCTGGTATTTCCAGCATGCCATGTTGAAATTAATGTCTTCATCCTCTCGTGGCATCTAGAAGGAGGAAGCACCCACACACCGCAGCCATCTTCATAACCACCTAGCTCCAGCAACAGATAAAGAGGCAGGGGGAGAGACGCTGAGACCCGTCCTCTTTGGGGAGGGTAACCCTCCAACTACTGGCCATGGAAGCCTCTTCTTGGCTGTAAGAGTCTGGGGCAGTTTCCACCTCAGGGACCTGGAGTGAGAGAGGGAGACAGAGGGAAAGGGAAGGTGAGGCAGAGAGGAGGGAGGGAGGGAGACAAAGACTGGATTCAGATTTCAAAAACTTCTGCTCTTCTTATTGAGTGATAGATTTTTTAAAAGAGATTTTTCTTCATTCACTGAATGCTCTTAAGAAATTTTTAAAGACTTCGATTTTAAAAATTCCATTTTTTTTTTCTGGGAGTCTACCGAGCGCCCCCCCCCCCAAAGAAAATTCCAGTATCCTGGATTTTAATGACTTCAATGAAAAATGTGTAGCAAATCCAAAATTGAGGTAAAAGTTTCATCTTAGGCTTTCTCCTAATCAACTTTGGTCAATTTGATTGCTCTGATAAATATTACCTTCCTATTTTAAACGCTCAGCATGAATGTATTACCTGGCTAGCCATGAGGGTTCCTACTTTGCACAGGGTCCTTCTAAGCCAGCTCCCGATATGTGCTCTGTAGTCATATGTATTTTGGTAAAATCCATGGGCTCTCACCAGGTAAAACCACTGACTCCCCATTTGACTTCCTTTCTTGTCCTCACTGTCGAAAAGGACATGGGTATTCGGGGATATGAATAAGAAGTTAAGTTGGATATATCTATTTTTTATTTTTTTAGATAAATTTGTGTTCACTCTGGCCTCTGTGTATGGCTAAGCTATTGCTAGCCATAGTGGTGAAACACTGACTTCTAGGACTATTCTAACTACCGACTGCAGGCTCAGTTTACCCTGCGTAACCCTGATATAAGGACACTGTCCAGGGGCCACACTGCTCTTTCATTATATTGCATCATGCAAGTCAAGTATCTCTCATCCAAAATATGAGAGCAGAAATACCTCAGGTTTCATGTGTTTTAAAATTCAGAATATTTGTATAGATATGATGAGGTATTATGGAGATGATGAGACCTAAATTTAAATAAAATTTATTTATATTTCTTATATAACGTACACACATAGGCTGAAGGTAATTTTATGCAGTTTTAGTGAGTTTACGTCTTAACTGTCACCTCACAGATAAAGTCAAGGGAGGAAGTTTACCGCGTGCACCGTGGCACTAAAAACTTTCTGGTCCTGGAACATTCCAGTCTCCCAGGTGAGGGATGAATAACATTACTGCACAGATTTCAGCACCATGTGGGTGGAGCAGAGGCAAGGACTGAACCGTATTGGACCAACAAATGGTCTAAGGAGAATGAGTCCAGTTGGCAGGCTGGGGGAAATATAAGCGGGGGTAGTGGTCTTTTCATCAGCACCTTGTCAAGCCCTCTGTTAGTAGTAAGAACTGTTGTGAGGAGACGGCTTAGTGGGTAAGAGCATTTGCTGAACAAACAAGAAGACAGGAGTTTGAATCCCCAGCATGGATATAATAGGCCAATAGTGGCCACACCATGGCACCTCAGGGGGAGGATTGCCTGGGCTTGCTGAGATTGTCTCACTCCAGGCTCAGTGAGAAACCTTGTCTCAATAATGTTGAAGATCATAGAGCAGGGCACTAAGTGTCTTCCTCCAGCCTCTGCAATTCATAACACACACACACACACACACACACACACACACACACACACACGAGCTAATAATAATTAACTCAGAATTATCTATATTAAATTATGAAGCTAAAACAAATGTTCCTGAATTCTGTAAATAGTCTTGACAAACAACACTAAAGGAGATGAATTTTGTTTACTCATATATTCTCTCTGGAAACCTTACAAAGTTTCGTAATGAGGATTACTAAAAGGAAGTTTGTTTAGACCAATTAAATTCAGTAGTGCTCATTTGAGCAAAACAAGCTGCTTTGGGAAACAGAGCTACAGCGGTTTCTGGGAAATCCAACATGATCTGAAGGTACTTACAGAAAAAATGAAAGGCAGCCTAGAGCAATCGGAAGAGCTCAGCTGAGTCCACCAGCCACTTGGTTACAATTTAACTTGTTGGTTGCAGCTTAATTAGTTAATTAGTTACAGGGCCTTTTGCAACCCAGCAAGACCAACTTTCTGAAAAACTAAATTTGGACCAGTATTACTTTCCCAAACCAAGCAGAAGTATCTGACTGTTTCATTTCATGTTCCAGGGGGCTGGAAAGACAGCTGTGTTTTAAGAGCATTGGCTGCTCTTACAGAGGGCATAGATTCAGTTCCCAACACCCTCGTGGTGGCTTACAACCAATCTCTAACACCGTTCCAGGAGATCCGCCGCCCTCTTCTGGCCTCCATGGGTACTGCACATAGGAGGTGCATATATATATATATATATATATATATATATATATATATATATATATATATATTCAGGCAAAAGAACCATACACATGAAATAAAAATAAATATATCTTTTACTTTTTTTATTTCATACTTTCTCATGGACCAATTAGGTGGCTGCCCCTTGACAAAAAGATGAAAGCCCCGAAAGTTTTTATAGTGGATTCCAGACCCACAGCAAGGGCCTGGCAGAGCCAAGATGCACTCCTTTCAGACCTGTTATTTTGCTGGAATTTGCTCT